ATTAGCCTGACAGGGACAAGGACCACAGTGGCTCTCCCAAGAAACCTGCGCAAGCGCATTACCCACGTTCTGGATGAGACTTTAGAAGAGATTATCGAGGCCAATTACCGCGATGTGATAGACCACATCAATGCGCTATTCCGCATCTAGGCATGCATGCAGCCCTAACCCTCCTCTCCTGAAAAAATTCCTTCCCGAAAAAAAAGCCGCTTACCGGTAACCTGCTCTTCTGTTTGTCCTTCACCAAGTACCGGCCGCTGCGAGTGGCCACCTTCCCCCTGGCTCGAGAAGAGCTCCTGGCTGCCTGCCTCCAGGGATTCTGGGGTGTCTCCCCCCACCCCAGCAACCTCACTCCCGCTTTCCTCCTCCTCCTCCCCCCGCTCTGAAGTGTCCATGGTGGTGCTCGGAGTGGAGGTGGGGTCACCCCCAAGTATCGCGTCCAGCTCTTTGTAGAATTGGCAGGTTGCGGGGGGAGCACCCGAGCGGCCGTTTGCCTCGCGGGCTTTGCGGTAGGCATTCTGCAGCTCCTTCACTTTAATCCTGCACTGCAGAGCATCCTGGTCATGGCCCCTTTCCATCAAGGCCCTTGATATCTGCCCAAAGGTATCGTAATTCCTACAGCTGGAGTGCAGCTGGGACTGGACAGCTTCCTCCCCCAAACACTGATGAGGTCCTGCAACTCGCCATGGCTCACTGCTTGCCTCTTTGCCCACCCGCCATTTGCCCACCTGCTCACCCCCGGCTCGCCCCCTCCCAAAGTATAAAGCCTCATTCAAAGACCCAGGAGGTCACTATATTAATGCACACAGCAGTCAATCAATGTAGTACCAAAAATTAAAATACTGAAAATGGATGCCCCCCTCCATGCACTGACTCGCCGCTCACTTCCTCCTCACCCCACCTCCAAGTATCAGGGGCGGCAGGTTTGTAGAAATTTTGGTGGTGCCCAGAACGCTCAGAGCCCCGTCCCAAACTCTGGAGGCACACCTGCCTAAGGCTCTGCGAGGGAGTTTGGGTGGGGGGAGGAGGTCTGGGGTGCAGGCTCTGGGCTGGAGTTTGGGGGCCGGACGCTGGGGACTGCCATTACATGTGGCTTCCTTCCTCCCCTGCTGCCCCTTGCCATAGCCTCACTGGGGGTGGGGGATGGGGCTGCCCCTTGCCCAGTTTGCAGGAATGGTGGCTGGGGTGGGTCGGGGGGTGGATCCAGGGCGTCTCTGGCTTTTTTGCCACCCCAGGCAAAAAAGCCTCCCACCGCCCCCTGGCGGGGAGCGCCGGGAGGAGGGCGCCGAGCCCGGCCGCAGCCCCGCTCTCCCCGGCCAGCCGAAGCGCCGGGAGGAGAGCGGAGAGCCCACTGCAGCTCCGCTCTCCCCGGGTGAGCGCCGCCCCCCTCCAGATGCCGCCCCAAGCACATGCTTGGTAGGCTGGTGCCTGGAGCCGGCCCTGGGTGGATCACAGGGTCAAACAGTACGCTCACTGAAGCCCCAGCAGCTGGTCAGGTGAGTGAGGTCCACCGGCTGCAGGTGATCCTGTCTGTCTCCCACCAGAAGCCCCCTCGGCATCTCCTCCAGGTGGGTGCCGGGGGAAGGGAGGGCTGCGAAGTATGTGTGTGCCTCCTCCCAAAGTGCAGTAGCTGCCTTAGCTGGCTGCCTGCTGGTATCCTGTTGCCAAGGCAGCAGCAGCTTTCCTTTGGGCAGGGAGGCTCTGGGGCTTTTATGCGCCCCTCAGCTTTAGGTGCCCCAGGCAAGTGCCTCACTCACCTCACCCTTGTTACAGCACTGCCCTCAAGGACAGGGCCAGCTCCAGGGTTTTGGCCGCCCCAAGCAGCCAAAAAAAAAAAAAAAAGCTGTGATTGTGATGGCAATTCGGTGGGAGGTCCTTCACTCCCAGGTGGACTGAGGGACTGTCTGCTGAATTGCTGCTGAATACCTGGATGTGCCACCCCTCTCTGGAGTGGCTGCCCCAAGCACCTGTTTGAGAAGCTGGTGCCTGGAACTGGCCCTGCTCAAGGATTGAACTCACAACCCTTGGTTTAAGCAGGCCAATGCTCAAAAAACCCTGAGCTATCCCCCCCACCCACTGACCATCTTAACAGGCCATTGCATCAGGGAGAGAAATCCATCACCCACCCTTAGGTGCCAGAGCTTCCCCCCCAACTCAGTACCCCACAGCACAGCCTTGGGTATTGGGCTCAGAGACAGAAAGCTGTGGGGAAGCCCCGCCCTCTGCCTCTCCTCGATGTGTTATTGGATCGTGCACCACTACAGACCCCTCCCAGCGCGGTACATTGCTCAGCAAGTCCTCAGGCGAAAGGGGATATTTGTGAGGCAGCGCCGGCCGTTGAGCTCCGACAGACCCGCTGGCGTGGAGCTCGCGCCTGCTGATGCTCAGGGCAAGGCGGACTCCAGCCGTTTCCGAGCCACCCACCTCTTGCGGCGGCTTCATGGGGCCGCAGGAGCCGGCGCAGAGCGGTGCCGCCGCCGTGTCCCCGGCAGCGCTGGAGAAGCTGAAGCAGCGGGCGGCTGAGTGCATCGAGCTGAGCGCCGAGCGGCTGAGCGCCCTGAGCCGGGAGATCTGGAGCCGCCCCGAGCTGGCCTACGAAGAGCACCAGGCGCACGGCGCCATGACCCGCTTCTTCTCGTGCGCCGAGCTGCCGGGGGCCGCCTGGGCCGTGCAGCCGCACTACAAGCTGGACACGGCTTTCCGGGCCGAGTGGGGCCCCGCCGCCCCGGCCTCGCGGCCGCTGCACTTGGGTTTCCTGTGCGAGTACGATGCGCTGCCCGGGATCGGACACGCCTGCGGCCATAACCTCATCGCCGAGGTGGGGGCGGCCGCGGCCCTGGGCGTGAAGGGCGCCCTGGAGAGTCTGCCCCAGCCGCTCCCCGCCGCGGTGAAGGTGAGACCCGGCGAGGGAGGGGGGCGATCCGTCGCTCGAGGCGGAACCTGCCCGGGAATGAGGGGAGCTGGCCCGATTTGGTTCCCATCCCGTTGCTGCACAAAACAACTTCTCATTTCCCAGGCTGAGCTCTCTCCCTGGCCATCAAAGGCACCAAGAAGCCACGGTCTCCAGCATGTCTACTCAGTATTTAATCTAAGCACAGTCCCTGGCCCATCCCTGCGGGGTTTATTTTTCTGCCAGTCAGGTTTTTAGAAAGACAAGGTGGGTGAGGTAGGTAATGTCTTTTATTGGACCGGCTTCTTTGGGCGAGGGAGACACTGGAATGTTTTCTTAAAGTGTGTTTATGTAACTGCAGCCTGCCAGTGACATCCTAGTTCTCATCAGCCTTTGTTACACTGCAAGGTGTGGCTGTTCGTGAGCAGTCAGGGTTGGAGGCTACAGCAGCAGGGCATTGCAAAGCACCCCAGGTTACAGGGTAGGGATGACAGAGGCCCCCTCCACTGGTCTGTGTAAACATGAAATTTTTTCTCTCTCACCAACAGAAGTTGGTCTAATAAAAGATATTGCCTCATCCACCATGTCTCCGTAACATCCTGGGATCAACATGTACAACACTACTGTGCACAACAAAATCAGGTTGTTGACAATTTTGTTGACCCCTATAACCTCTTCTAGATCACTGTGCTGGGAACTCCTGCAGAAGAAGGTGGAGGTGGCAAAATAGATCTCATAGCAGCTGGTGCTTTTGATGATCTGGATGTTGTTTTTATGGCCCATCCAGCACAAAGTGATGTCGCTTATTTACCTGATGTGGCTGAGCATGAGTAAGTAAGATGTTTGAAAGACTACTTTTTTTTTTTTTTTTTTTGTCTTTCTGTACATCACAATCTTTTCAGCGAAGGGAGACCTGCCTTTACAGTAGTTAAACTTGGAGTCTGGTAATCACTGATATTCCTCATGTGTAATATGTAGTCCGTTCATGAGCAAGTTGATGTACTCAGTACTGAGCACTCAAACCCAGTTCTTGTATTCTCCTAAAATGTAATGTTCGGGCCTGCATCTGTTATGTTTATTGTTGCAAAAATTTTAGAGATAATATCTAGTCAGGGTAGCAAGTGGCATTTCATTTCATTGATAAAACTTAAATATGTCATGCTTATGTTAAGGAAGCTAACACAAATCCTGACTTTCTGCAATCCAGCTAATTAGCAATAATGCATTGTTATATAGCATATTATGTTTCTGGGAAAATATTTGTCCATGTTGGTGCCACACAATTCTACTCCTGAGTTGTCTTTCTCGGACATTTGTTGTATTTTATTGCTCAATGATGCAGTCTTTTTGTGCAAACTATATATTTTTCAATTCCCTGAAATTCTTTATTCTCCCTTGGACTGATTCTGTTAAAATGTCCCAAAACAAACATTTGCATGCATCTTAAAGCCTTCTAAAGTTAATTGGAAAATATTTACTTTTAAAATTTACTGAAAGTAGGATTATTTCTGTCCACAATGATAGATACAATAGTGTTCAAACTAAAGTACTGTCAGCCTTAATTGGAATGGGGAAAACGTTCAAACTCTTGACTTGGAGATGACTTTGCTTTCTGTTGTAAAGCAGAATGAAAGCTAGTTGGTATAAAACAACCTTGTCACTAATCTCAAGAGCGTGAAATGCTTTTTCTTGAAGAACCCATGTATCATGGCTTTTTATATACAGATAATATCCAAGGATTCAAGAGCAAGCTGTAAATTTTTGTTTTCTCCATTTACACTGTTGGTAGCCAACCAGTTTGTCCTACTGATGCTTCAAATTAATCTTGAAGATTTGTTTAATAAAAGTTCAGAGGTTATGTCAGTTATATAATTCATCAGAAATAATCTGTCCTTTTCACAAGTAAATTTACTTAACTCATATATGAGTGCATAGCTTTCTAGGTTTCATAACAAAGTAATGAAAATGTGTGTTTTCAAGTTCACATTAACTTGGCAGTGCCTGCCTCTGGGTTAGTGTCTCTGGAAAGACATGGTTTCCTTTCTCAAGCAGACGATTTAACTAGTCTTTGGCCTCTGAGTTTTTTGCTCCTTCATCTGTGTCTCTGGGACTGATTGCAACCTGTCCTTCTGATCTCAAGGACCGCCTCCCCTGGAGTAAAATAGAGTAGCCCGTGCCCAAGATTTTGCAGTCTGTATTTTCTCAAACTTCTTATTTCCTCTACAAACATTTAAGGCTTATTTGATCCTAGATTGTAGTGAGTAGTATGTTTCTGCAAATGTTAACTGCTTCCTATACCTAAAACTTCATTAATGTAAATGTATAACTTATAAATATTATGGTTTCTTTTGACAGACTTCCATTTAATAGACTTCCGATTCCTGTCCACTCTCCTCCTTAATCGCCCCATTCTTAGTTTTGTATTGAACAAAAGATCTGCTTCTCTGGTCTGAAGTGAGCTGTCTAGTGCTGCGGGGTTCTCAGATTGTCACAGCGTGGATCACTTTGTCAGATCCTTGTGAAAAATCTTCTCTTCTAGGCAAGGTTGTATGACATTCCTGTGGCAACAACAGAATCTGCATGGAAAAGTAATGTTGGGAAAGTCTATATTGTTGCCTTTAGAGTGATAAGTGATAACTGCACACACTACTTTTTGCTCTTAACTTCCCCTCCCCTTCCACTTTTCCACTGAGTAGAATCCAGGAGGAGAGCAAGCATGGTGAAACATGGCCTGCTCCCTGTGTACCATCATTAAGGGCTTGTCTACACTGGCAATTAACATCGCTGCAACTTTCTCGCTCAGGGGTGTGAAAAAACACCCCCCCCCCCCCGAGCACAGAAGTTGTAGCGCTGTAAAGCGCCAGTGTAAACTGCCCCAGCGCTGGGAGCTATGCCCCTTGTTGAGGTGGGTTGTTGTTTTTTTTGTTAGAGCGCTGGGAGAGCTCTCTCCCAGTGCTGCGGCAATGCTTTAGCATTGCGAGTGTAGACTAGCCCGAAGTCCTCCTGTGGACCAGTTTTGGGACCTTTGAACTAGTGGTTAGTGATAGGATAGACAGTTGAGATCTGGGCTCTATTCCCAGCTATCCATTGCAAAAGTCGCATGTTCATTCACTTCAGTTCATGTATTTGGAAAATGGTGATAGGATTGTTGAGGCTTACTGATTGACAGCCTTTCATCCAAGGCAAAAAGTTTGAATAATTGAATAAATGTTTTTGTTAAAAGCTTCTTTAGGAAGCTGATAATTTAGTTCAACAACCTATCTCTTTTCCCCCAGAGTGCTTATGGTATGGATTGGCTTCTTTTTGAAGTTCAGGTTGCACGGTTTTGCAGCCTTGCAAAAAGTTCTGTTTACCCAGTCATTTGAACGAATAACTTTTGTGCTAGGCTTTTGCATTTCTAAAGGCTAGGGTATATTTTGAGGTATTGGAGTCAGGAGGGAGGGAGGAAGAAGGGATGTATTTTGGGGCTTGTAGCAGTGCATGTTTTATTTTAAGACACTATAGGTGCATTCACCTCCATATTTGAGGCTTCTTTTCTGCCATCACTAGCCCCAAGGAGCTTCAGAGCTAACTTACATTTTGGCTGATGTCTTCTGGCCACGAGTTATAATTTTTTGCTTACACTTGAATAATTTATACAAGCTGTTTTCTAAGATGGAAGAAAAAAGTATGTGATGATCACCTTAAAGACTGTTTTATGTCTTTGCAATGTCTTATTTCAAATGGGTTGTCCTGGAAACTTCAAATGAAGTACATTCAAAAACCTTGGTGAGATTTAGTTCATACTCCATTTCTGAGTTGGAGGAAAAAAATACTCAAGAAGGTGTTTGTGGTTTTTTTTTTTTTGTCTAACTCGGAACCTCAGAATGGGGTGGTCTGGCTACAGCGGATTTGGGACATGCATGACTGGTGAGGACATCAGCTTTTTAGTTTAAAAATACAAAAAACTCAAATCAAACTTCTCTTCCTTTTTGTGGATATGCAACCCCCTTCTCAAACTACCCCATGAACTGTTTTCTCTTGCCTAATACCAGCTATTGGCTGGCAGCCAGAATTCTTAACCTACTCCTGATATCTTCTCTGCCCCTTTCCCTCCACTTCCAATCTTGTAGCTCTATTCCCTGTACATTCCTTCAATTATTCTCAAGTTGGTGCCAACAATATCTCTAGGAAAAACTGTCTATCCTTTCCCTGGTACCTGAGCAAAACTTCCACTTTTCTAAGGCAATAAAGTTCCATGGCAATGGGGGATTACTGTATAATGAGAACTCTAGGAACTTCCTAGCCACATAAATGTGGCATGAAGTAAGAGGCCAGGAAGCTCTCCAGACTCGGTGCCCTTGGGTGAGAGGTTTAGGTCATAGGCATCTGGGCCAGATGTATCTTGTAACTGACTTCAAGTAATCTTTCTTAATCCATTACTTCAACAGGCTTCCATTCTGTACCAGGTTCCATAGATTCTTGCTCCAAGTTTCAGATTTGCTTCCTTGAACATTGTATTAAAACAAATCCATTAGAAATTAAAGTTAAGATTAAATTTATAATAATCCTAAACATTTGCAAGTATGAAAGGCTGCAGTTGATGCACCCAAATGAATTTTGCTGGGTAGTGATAATCTGATCACTAAAGTACATAGTTAAGTAATTTGAATGCCTTATCTGTGACCTTCTCTATTGCCAAACCAGAAACTGGTGCTGTACTCTTCAATAAAACATATTTTGTTAGTGATCATTAGAATACCTTACTCTGAAGTATACAGTGGTTATATTGATTTTAATCACCTTTGTGACTATACATTCAGTGCATGCTCTACAGATAAAATGATCTTCAGCATGCTATGTGCCACCAAATAAAAAGTGTCATTAAACAGTGAACTTATCTTGTTGTTATAAACCTCTTGGGCTCAGATAATGGAATGATAGGAAGCACACATAAACAACAAAGGGGTACTAGCAAAGCATCATACTGTCATACCTGTACATGTGGTGTGAATTATAAAACCAATAATCTGGTGCACATGTTTAATGGTGCGTGTGTTCAGTGTTTCATCTGCAAGTAATATCTTCTCCAAATTTAAGAGACTTCAGACATCAAGATTTTATTGAAAACAGATGTAAAAGGGAAAATAAGCTGCTAACAGTTCAATCGCTTTACAAATTCTATCCCATGGACAAGTGTTTTCTTTATCTTCACCCTTAACTCTGAATGTCTAACTGTCATGTTTTTTTCTTAATTTACAGTAGGGGTTTTTTTTTTTTTTTTTGGTCTGGGGATGCATTTAATTTAAAGCTTAAATAGTCTTAAGGAGTTTTTCAAAACATGATGAGTTCTTGTTAAGGGAAAAATGTTGATACTGTTTGCAGATAGGCAAGAATTTAAAGGTATAGATTTGATACTGTCAATAAGGAACTTCAGAGTAAATTTATGCTATTTGTACAGTGCATCTAATTGCTGTCCGTGTTGGCAACTAGCACTGGACCTCTTTGGGTATGTCTACTCTGCAGTTGGTGTGATTGCAGCTCAAGTAGGCATACCTGTGCTAGCTTAAATCCAGCTAGAATGGCTAAAAATAGTGATAATGCAGCTGTGAGGGCTTCCCTGCTATTTTTAGCTATGCTAGCTAGATTAAAGGTACAATCACACCTTCGATTGCAGTGTAGACGTTAATCCTGTTGAAATCTGCCTTAACTGTGTGTAGAAAATTTCTATCTAATTATCTGAATTTCCAACATCTATCATCTTCCTCTAACTGCATATTCTTATAAATCTCATATAGAAGAGGGGAAGCAGAAAAATCGCAATAGACTTCCTTTTAACTGTTTTTTTTCATGTAGTTTTCATCCTGCTTCAAATCTGTTTTCTTCTCTGGCTCGTCTTACTTCTGCCCTAGAGACGCTACCAATTTCTGAGGAGGAGGTAAAAGAGGCTTTATGCTAGCCCATACCATGGCTTCTATTAAATGGTTAGGTGCATAGTAGGACTCTTGCTGGCAAGAAGTGGATGGCAATAAATTTATATAGCAGGATATTGCTATTTTTACTGCAAAGAATCTGTTCTTAACCATTGTAAATGTATATAGTGCATTGTCTATTTTGTTTTCACCTTTGGAGTGTTGGCAGAGTTTGGGGAGGGATAGGACAATCTTAATTTCTAAATCTCTTTCAGGATCTATGCTTTGGTGGTTAAAGGTGGTTTAGCTTCCCAACAGTTTAGGACCTGGTAAATCACAGCTTAATCTCTTATGCTTCAAAAACATTGATATAAAATTTTAATAATTGTTGGGTGAATCCAAAGGGACGTTGATTTTAGTTTTTAAAAGTGGACAAAAACAAATAAGTCATGGCTTTTATTTCCTAGTGTGACTGTGAAATACTATGGAAAAGCTTCTCATGCTGCTGCTTATCCTTGGGAAGGAGTAAATGCATTAGACGCTGCTGTTCTTGCATACAACAATATATCAGTTTTAAGACAGCAAATGAAACCAACCTGGAGAGTTCATGGTGAGAGAGCTTCATTCAATCTTATGTCCACCAAGTAAGACTTCTGGCTATTTGGATACTGACTCTGAAAAAAATCCTAAATATTGTATTGTTACATTTAACTGGAAAAGTAATTTGAAATAATTACATTTTTCATCCAAATACCTTTCTAAGGGAACTTCTATGGTACCATCAACATTTAGTATAAACTGTTGAATGCAGACCAATAGGAGGGCAGTATGGCCTCAAGTCATAAGCATTCTTCCTCCATATTTACACAAATAAGACACTTTTATGTATATTAATGCAGATTTAATATTTACATAAACTGAATATAGCATTTCATAACTGCCAAACTTGTCTAAGACTCAAGACACTAATGGTGAAGACGCTGTATTGGTATAACTATAGCCATACAAATGCTTTGTAAACTGGAAACAATATTTTTAGGGAAGCCTGACCAGCTGGAACAAGATATAACATAAGCAATAAAAGCTTCCCTTGACAGAGATTCAAGGATCTTGTTACTGAGTTGAGGCAACAGCTAATAACCTTCCAAGGAACCCAAGCTTGTAAAATGAATGTCCTAATCTATCCTCTAGTATTAAAATATATTTTAGGACTCTGATTAATGTCAAACTGAAGTATATCTTGAGACCTCCCTTCAGCAAGATTTTGAAAGTTTTTAATTTTTTGCTGTGGGGTGGGGGGAGAGAGGTAGAGGGAGAGTAAGGCCAGGATTCCAGGCAAGCTTATTTTTCTTCCCCAAATAAAATGTTGCTAGCTTGCCAAAAGTACTAGGAAAATCAATATTCTGTTCTTTAACTCTATCCAGTTTTGTTAATGTGTTACAGCACATCTTTAAACACTTTTCTCCTTAACTTTCTTTCTTTGGAAAAGTACATATTATAGTGTGTGCATTGCACAAATCTGCTTGATTGCCCACTTGCCAGTTCCTTGTTTGTCCAAAGTAACTTTTTCTGGCATCCATCCATTATTCTTATCTCCAAGCCTCTTATATTAATTGGCAAGTATGGTATGGGAACACTAGCAACGTCTCTTCCCACTGAAGTTACGATAACAAAAGATAACTATTGTGGAGAGAAGAAATCTAATATGGTGCTGAGTAAGGTGTGTAGAACACCTAACAAGAAATAACTTTTATTCAGTAGCTGGCTTTTTCTGTACCCATATCTGGACATGATGGAATGGTATCCATTTGTTTGAAGGCACGTTTTCTGTTCAAACTTGGCTCCAAAATTAGGCTTTGTAAGAAAGGAAGATTCTACAAAATGTAAGATCAATGGAAATGTTTCCAAAGAATGGCAAGAGTCAGTGAGGATACTAGCGAGCTTGCTTTCCCCTTTGTTGCAGCAAATGCCAATTACTTTGCAATGAAGAATTCAAACTTCATGTCGGTGTGCTAAAACAGGAGAACATGAAGCTGACCAGAAGCCAACTGATCTTTTCTTCATTGTCCAAACTAGCAAAGCAAAATAGGAACACATGGCACAAATGGTAAAATAAACTTTCAAAAACCCCTTGAGTTTTTGAATCCAAGGAGGTCTTTGTAACATAGGGCAAGGACGCTATTTTTAAAAAGATTAACTTAACACTACCAGAATGGCTGGCTGTAACCATGAGGAATGTGAAAATCAAGACGTATGCTTGTGTAACTTAAACTCTGGAGAATTACTTGGCTATATTTAAACTAAGTGCTTACATATGGTCTGTGAACTTCTGTCACATATTCATTCGTTTAATTTCTCTTGTTTTCCCAGCGTTGGCAAGATTGTTTCACAGTTTAGAATGTTTGCAGTGAATAGCAGGGGAGAACTGTAAATACTACTTTTGCCTTTTTGTGTGTGTATGAACTCAAGGTGAATAATTGAGTTGTGTCTCAAAAAGAATGCAGTGATACCAACCTTAAAAAGTCTGTATACATGATATGTTGTGAAAGCTTCTCTCTCTTCAATAGAAGTTGGTCCAGTAAAAGATTTTACCTTACCCACCTTGTACACATGATACTCCTTTCTATTGAGCTGACTGCGAGGGGAAGTAATTGAGTCCAAATACAAAGTTTAAATGGTGCATTCTCAGGACTTAGTGCTCAGCTGATGCCTTATCTCTAATACTTCTGTTTTGTGTGCTCAGCTATAAATGAGGAGCTTCATAAGGCAGAGTACGTAATTTTGCTTGATCCTTTGCAACATTCAATAATTGGTCTCTTCTCTTCTGTAGGTATAATAAAAAATGGTGGCGTGAAACCTAATATCATCCCTTCTTACACTGAGCTAGAGTTTTACTTGCGTGCCCCTTCACTGAAGGACCTCACCATTCTGACAAAGAAAGCTGAAAATTCCTTCAAAGCTGCAGCTGTGGCCACAGAATGCAAAGTAAGAATTCTAGAGCAGATTCATTTATTTTTATCATTTTGAAGTTAGGCTAAAATAGGAGCCTAAGTCTTTGTTTACATGATTTGTATGGCACTTACCTTTTTAAGGCAACCTAAAATTTAGATCTCTGAGTACTAATCTGCTACTCCACTATGTGCTGAAAAAGATTTTGTTGGTGAAGAGAAACATTTAGTTGCTACAGTTCTAAATATCCTAGATTTTCAACTGAAGCTTTCCCCAGTCTTATGTCATAAGCAAAAGTGTTCCCAGTAGTATGCTCAGGATAAAAAAAAATTGTATTGGTCTTGACCAAGTCAGGTCATCTTGCAATTTATCTCTAACTTCTGAGACTGTAATTAAAGTGTAGCTAATGGCTGTCTGCCATATTGCTGTGACAAAAATGTGTGTGTTCATCTGTTAGTAAATTTGTTGTAAAGGGGCTAATAATTTGTAGCCTCAATACATGGTGAGTGAGTTAGTGAGGACCAAGTTAAAGTTCATGGAACGCCCTTTTGAGTCATCAGGTGTTCTTTTGCCTCTTAGTGGAAATTGCTTTCCCTACCGGCCTTTGCTCCAGTTAGAGAAAAATTTCAATAAGGCTCGTTTATAATGAAAGTAAATTGGTAAGGCCTCATTCTAAACTTCTGACCAAAGTCATCTCTTTGGCTCTCTTACCTGTCTTTTCCAAACCACATGGGTTCTAGGTGAAGCTAGATTGACTACCGTGGATGTTAAAAAGGGCTGTTATAATCTGGACAGAATTAGGCATGGGAGAAATCAGATTGAGTCTTTAGTGATCTATCTAATGACTTGCAGCCCAGCTTGCTAGTTACAATACAACCTCAGAGTTACAAACACCTCAGGAATGGAGGTTGTTTGTAACTCTGAAATGTTCATAACTGAACAAAACATTATGGTTCTTTCAAAAGTTACGACTGAGCATTGACTTAATACAGCTTTGAAACTTTACTATGCAGAAGAAAAATGCTGCTTTCCCTTTAATTTTTTAATAGTTTACATTTAACACAGCACTGTATTATTATTTATTATTATGATGATTTTGTCTCTGCAGCTGCCTGATTGTGTGATTGTGTATTTCTGGTTCCAGATAGGGCTTGTGGTTGACTTGTCAGTTTGTAACTCTGGTGTTTGTAACTCTGAAGTTTTATTGTACTTACAATGGGGGATCTGTTGAGGCAATAGTACAAACAGGAAACCAGCCTATTTAGGCCATGTCTACACTACAAACTTTGATCAACACAAATTACATCTGTGTACAGTTGCTAAATCTTAGTATAGCGCTTGAGCACGTATACATACTTGGCTGCTTGTGTCCATGCTGTGTGTACTCAGCAGGCTTGCCTGTATTGATGCAAAGTGAAGATAGATATCCCAATATGCCACCGTTCAGTGCAATGCCTTTTGGGAAATTTTCTGTGTTGTGGGGTAGAAATTAATTGCCCAGAGATCTCTGGGAGTTAGGGGTCAAGTTCCCAACATGCAACTTTCTCCATCTCATAATGCCATCCGTTTCCCATAATTTTTGCGCCTTTAAAAAACAAAAAAAAGCCTTGCCACAAATATGCTCCGCACTTTTCAGTGTCTGCCATCTCTGACAGAAGCATGGAGCCCACAGAGATCTGTGCTGCTCTTACAAACATTGCAGATAAAGGATACATGATTCTCCTGTATTTGCAGACCCACTGGAAGTACTGCAACAACAGGAGATGACTATTTATTTGAGAACCGTTTGCTCAGGGACAAAGTGAAAAACAATTTGGTGGTGGTGATCAGGAAGCTGCTGCAGACAATGGAGCACCATTGTTGGGCCCAAGAAACCAGCAGTGGGTGGTGGGATTGTATTGTAATGCAGGTTTGAGACTGTGGACCGTGGCTGCAGAATGTTCAGATGTGAAAGGCAACATTCCTGCATCTGTGTAGTGAGCTCACCCTAGCCTTCAAACTCAGACCCATAGACTTTAAGGTCAGAAGGACCATCATGATCGTAGCCTGACCTCCTGCACATTGCAGGCCACAGAGCCTCACCCACCCACCCATGTAATAGGCTCCTGACTTCTGGCTGAGCTACTGAAGTCCTCAAATCATGATTTAAAGACTTCAAGTTACAGAGAATCCCTCATTTACACTACTTTAATCCTGCAAATGACCCATGCTACAGAGGAAGGTGAACCCCCCCCCGGGGTCTCTGCCAATCTGACCCGGGAGAAAATTCCTTCCAGACTCTAAGTATGGTGATCAGTTAGACCAGTGGTTCTATATCAATCTTTTTCGTTTGTGAACTGCTAAAAAAGTTTTGAATGGAGGTACAGACCCCTTTGGAAATCTTAGACGTAGTCTGTGGACCCCAAGGGGTTCACGGACCACAGGTTGAGAACCATTGTCCCAAGGACACTAGACAGCCTGGGCAATTTTGCTAGCCAAAGACAGTTTCCATTTTGGTAACGCCCTCCTTGCTTTTCTGATATGTACAGATGCTTCCAATTCGAAAGCTCAGGAAACACAGATGGTCAACAGCTGCAAACTATTAACTTCCAAATCCTGTCTTAACTTACAAAGCAGAGCAGAACAGTTGGTTTTTAGGTCCATGTAAAGCAGGGGTACCTGACAAATGCGGTCTATTTGCCCGGCTTCTTGCCCATAAAGTGTGTGCTTGGTATTGGGTGTGGCAGAAGAACCTGAATACAATCTGACTTTTTCAGACTGAGTTTTGAATGAAATCCTCACAGCATGCTTCACCGCTCTCCTGGCAGCTGTGGCAGGAGAGCGCTCCTACTAGAGGCCATCAGACTGCTCTCAAGAGAGAGGATTGCAGGTCAGGGTTTAAGCTCCTGAGTCAGCTTTCATGGAAGTCACTAGGAATCTTTTCCTGGATTGTTAGGGGAGCTAGATCAAGCCCAAAGGTGCCAGTCTAGCAAAGCAGTGAAGTAATGGGACTTAAGCATAGACTTAAAGTAAGCCCATTCCTAAGTGCGTGCTGAATCAGGATGATTTGCTGAACTGGAGCTAAATGAGTTTAGTTAATGTGTTTTTATAAAGTTACAGAGCTGAGGATAAATCATTGACACCAAGAAAGTGGAGAAGACACATGGGAAGAACACAGCAGAGACAAGAGATCTGGAAGACTTTTTCAATCCATAGGAAAGGTAGACACTGGCGGCTTTAGCAGCAGGGTTGGGAATAACTGAAGCTTTCGACACCCAGAGTGTGGGATGCAGTTTGGAATTGTGAGATGAGATGTGTTTATCAGAAAAAGAACATTAACGTTTGAATGGCCATCTGGTTTCAGAGTGAAAGCAACACTTAAGGGCAGTTCATACCTCTCAGAGCTATTCTCTAAGGGCTTGTCTACACTGGCAAGTTTTGTCCCCCAAAACAGCAGTAGCATACAAAGTGCAAGGTCACTTTTTTTTGGAAAAAACACCTAGATTTGTCAACAAAATACTTCCAGTCCTGTGAGAGACTTTTGTCTTTTCCATTCCCTTTATTATTGACAAACAGCCAGTATAGATACCACAGGTTTTTTTTTTTTTCCAATTTTATTGGCCTCCAGAAAGTGTCCCACAATTCCCATGCTGCCACTCTGGTCAGCAGTTTGAACTCCGCTGCCCTGCAGCCAACCTGCCCCTCCCCCTTGCAAGCCCCAGGATTTTTAAATTTCATTTTCTGTTTGTTGGCTTCCCAGAAGGAGCTTCCCAGGTGGCTTCCCAAGTGAGCAAGTAATTATACCTTTGCAAAACTTAATGTAACTTACTTGCATGTATTAAAAAATTGGGGGAAGAAGCAGCCTTCTTATCTCTGATCCACTGGCTCACAGATGCTGTGTTTGCTAACAATGGCTTTGCGAAAAAAAGCCTGCTGTTTCAAATTGTGCTTACTAAAAACCCCTCGTTAGTTTAACACTTTTTTTTGTCACTATACATTACTTTTATAACCCAGGGTTGTTTCTGCATGCTCCTTCTTTTTTCTTTTTTTTTTTTTTTTTAAATTAAAACACTTATGCCAAGGGTCCTAAATAAAAAAATGTGTCTTTAGACAAACTTGTCTTTTCAAATGTTTATTCCTTTACAAAACTTTCACCTCTATTTGTTAAAAAATGGGAAAAGAAACAAACTTGTTCTCTCTGATCCACCGGTTTACAAAATAAGGGGTATTTAAATTGTCTGTTACTAAAAACCTGGTGTTTTAAACCTGGGGTGCTTCTGCCTGCTCCTTTTTTTTTTATTACAACACATACAAAAGGGATGTGTCTTAGGTTTGTCTTTTCAAGTCATTATACCTTTGCAAAACTTAATGTAACTTTAACTTGTGTTTGTTAAAAAGCAGGTAAAGAAGCAAACTCCTTCTCTGTGATCCACTGACTCACAGAGGCTGCTTTGCTAACAGGTGCTTTGCTGCAGCTTCACATTGTGCTTACTAAATAAATAACCCATTAGCCTAAAACCTAGGGGAAAACTTTTAAAAATTGTTTGTTACTAAAAGCTTATGGTTTTAACTTTTATAAAAACTCCTTCGTAAAAGGGCTACATGGTGGGAAAAATGCTGGGGGCCTGTTTCTATAAAACAGTTAAAAGAAAGGGGGAGAGGGGAGGGGGGGAAAAAGAGGAAGTTGTCTATTGTTTAAAATCTCGGAACTCTAGGATTGGTTCAGAAAAATAAATTCTATGATGCTGCTGTAAAACAGCCTCTGATTGGGCCGATCCAAAGGCGGTGATAACAAGTCTGAGAGAGTCTGAACCAGGGATAGAAAGACTTAAAAGGTGAGAATTCTCTCTCTCTCTCTCATTTTCTCTCTCTCTGACTCAACCATGTGCTGTCTATCTTTGCCCTTTGCAAAGGGGGCTCTCTTTTCCCTTTTCTTGCCCTGTTCTTTCTTGTAACCTTTTTTTTTTTTCTTAACCTACCCTGATATTGAATGCTTTTTTATTCACTTTTTTACCCTGTGCTTACTAAACAGACTCTGCCTGCTTCTTTCTCTCTCA